TAGTTGGTCCAGGCACATGTTGATTCGTTTGGCCATTGCTGACGATCACCGTGTGAATGGATGGACTGGTTTGGGCGAAGTGATGGTGGTTGAATTACCTTCTGCTTGGCTTATGCTGGCGTAGGGTAGTTTAACCAGTTGAGTTACCTGCTGCTTGGCTTATGCTGGCGTTGGGTAGTTTAACTAGTCATCCAGTTTTCCATTTGGTCATAGCTGATGGAGGAATGGACGACGAGTCACAAACACTGTCAGAAGGCGTGTGGGACAACGAGCGTTTGGCAATTGCTGACGGACGTGGCCAGGCGTAATAGCAGGAAGGGACCCTTGTCTGGTTTTTACTGACAAAGGTATTGATTTATATTTTATTAGAGTTTCTTTAGGTTTTGCTATTTGGAATTTCTTTCACTACAGATTTCACGATTCTAATGACAGCAACTTGCGCACCACTGACATCAACATCATACAACATTCTACACCATTTACAACATCGCTACAACAGTGTTACAACATTAACAACATTCCACATCATTGACAACATTTTCAACATCGCTGTCTATTACTTTCCACAACTTAATTTATATTTTTTTGGTTAAATAATAAACGCTACTTTAAACAGAAGTGTCTCTATTATTTCACATTTATAAATTTCTTATAACGAACCCTGGTATACTCACTGAGTATACCCCAGCTATAGATAGGGCCGGGAAAAAGGTCGTTACAACACCAACAATTTAAATATTATTTATTATTTTTATTATTTCATATAACACATAAAAATACCAACAATTTAAATAATCGAAAATATATCAATGCAAGTCCAGTAAAATTTTAAGTAGTGAAAAATTAAGAAAACAATTGTCTTAAAAAAATTAACATTCAATATTTTTTTTTTTTTTTGTACTTTTAAGCAACAATATACAATTCCTTTTTTTTATTATTTAAATATTTATATATAATAATTAAAGCGAATTAATTTTAATAATTAATTAAAATTATATATGAAATTATTAAATTCTTTTTTGAAATACTTTTGAAATACATTTCGAACGAATAAATGGCATAAAAGTCTATAATTACTTTATAGTAATTATAAAGTAATACAGTACTTTCAATAGCTACTCTTTTAATAATTATTTCAACTCTTTAATTACATTTCCCTGCAAAAAAGCCAACAAAAAAGAAATATATACCAATTTCACTTTCTAAGGACACTCAACAGACTGATCTATCGTTAAGCAAGAAAATCGTCTTTATATAACGCTGCGTTCTTATCTTCACAATGTTTGCAGGATTAAAGTTTTGTTAATTTGTTGTTGTTTCTGTTTGTAATAGTTTTTTCTTCATTAAACTTTATTTAGTTATATATAAATAATTGTTACCAAACCATCGAACCGAATTTCCATGTCTGAAACACTGTTGAAAAATAACAAAATTCGCTTTTGAAACGAATAGTAAATGATTGCAAATCATCCATTATAAGATACTGCCGCTCAACCAAATCATTGATTTGAGAAACTACTAGGTAGAAGTCTAAAGTCTCTGATATTGATCAAGTTAATTTGTTGTATTTTATCACGATAAAGATATACCATCATTTCTTTAGTGACCCGGCAATAATGAAGAAACCTTGACTAATTTCCAAATCACTCTCTAGCTTTCATACAATAATACACGGAGTTACGCATATATAAATCTGTTTATACAATCTGTGTATAATGTTTTTTAAAAAACCGCATAAAAGTTGCCGCAACCAGCCTGTGCTTTATTACCACATAAGATTTGAGCGTAATCCGTTACTTAGCGATTGACATTAGCTATTTTCGCAATCACAATTTTTACTATTTTGCACACAGGATCCGTCCTAATAGTTTTTGATAAAAAACTGAGCGAATGTAAACCACCTAGTACCATAGTCAATTTACTTAAATCCAGTCGGTCTGTAAATGCGTCCCATTGCAGTGGCTAGTTTTCTCTGCCTTGACTCACGTCCATTAAAATTCCACCTATCTCTAATCCACTCCTACTCCGAAACAATCCATTCAGACTCCTAAGCAAGCCACTCTTACTCCTAAACAATCCACTCTTACTCCTAAACAATCCATTCTGACTCCTAAATGATCCTTACTTACTTTAAACAATCCACTCATCTCTCACACTACAATAACCTACCCACATCCTAACTATTGTATACATGTTAGTTATTCATTTAATGTTATCTGCTTTATAAATCTCCGCGGGTTACAACAACCCAACACCCTACTCACCTAACATAACCTCGTACGCCTTTATTTTTTGGTTTCGGAATATAATATTATCACTTAGAGAAAGGCATTTTGAGTTCACTGCAGAGTTCAATGCTTCAATCAGTTTATGTAAAATGTGTGAAGGATTGTATTGAACGCCTGACATAATTGCATTGCACTTGATGTGGTCTACTTTGAAAGTGACAAAAGCAATTTTTAATAATCTTTTTGTTTTATTTAATAATACCAGACATATTATAATTTTTTTTTTATTGCAGCTTGGTCTTTAGTCTACATTCGTTAGTGACCATTAGTTATAGATATTTACTAGACTCTTCTGCATAATATAAATATGAAAATGCTATATTAAGAGAACACTATGTGCTTACAATACACTGTGAATATCTGATCTTATATGATATAAAATTTTGGTTTGACATTGCAACTGCAGTTAGATGTGGAATATGAGAGTGTTGGCACGTTATCTGCGCTGTTTTAATTGTAGTCCAGAAACTGCGTTTCTGGACCTCAATTTTAAAGAAAAATCCAGTACATTTTTTTTATATTTTATATTTATTAATTGAAAACACACAAAATACAGTATATACTACAATTGCTCACAAAAAATGTGTTTAGTATTTAAAATTGGTAACTTTTAATTAACATTAAAAAAAATTTAATAAAAGTTCTGATTTGCAGCATTTTTATATAAATATAAATTTCATAAAATGTTAGATTAAAATTAAAAGCATTATTTTTCAAATGGTTGAAATTATTATATGTGAGTTCTATGGCATAAATTTCTAATTTATAACTGAAATAAATTTTAATTAAATTAGGATTTAAATAAAAACAGAAACAAACAAAGCAATATAAAACTGTCTATAAACTGTTTTCACAATACACAGTCAAGCTTACTATATGAATTCACTTTGCAATTGAAACCTTTATAAATATAACCTGTTTTTTATATATAAATACCACTTGTTATATATTTATTTGTTCCAATTTGACTTGACTGTATTTTCTTACCGAGAAACCAAATGTACCGAATTATAAAGTCTGTCTCTTAATTTCAAGGTAGTGATTTAATGGAAAACAAAAAATGTTGGTCTCTCAATTCCTTGTTTTGGCATTTTTGTTTTTATTTATAAAAATATTTTAATTAAAAAAAAAATACTATATATATTACAGTGTCCTTCCTTACTTATATAAAGAAAAATGCCTTTGAAAACAAAATGAAAGCTGCATTTTCGGTTTAAACCAACATGCTTATGGTTATGACATATAAAAGTATAATTTTAAAGAATAACTTAAACAAACAAATAAAAGCAAAAAAGAAACATACCAGTTCCAGAGAAGCAATATGAATGTTATAGAAGAGTAGAGGCTAAAGTAGTTCTTAATACGGGCACGACTGAAATTGTGCGTTGATTGGTAGACTCCATTTTGGGTGCAAATGAGCTGAGTGAATGGTGGATCCAAATATAATTTTGAAATCCGAACATAATCCGAAAAGTATGCGCTAGAGTTTATAGACATTGAAAGTGCAATGGTGCATGGTATCCTTTGCAAACACAGGGGAAGTAAACGCACGAATTGCAGCAGAAGTTTAAGGTAATAACAATTTTATGCCAAATTATTAATTCATACATTTTTAAATAAAATTTGTTACATTTTTTTCACAATATTTCATTTTACAAAGTTTTAGTTTTAGAACTTCTCCTTATTTGGCACTACAGTCCAGTCAGTGTGAATCTTGCCCTCCCTAAGTTATAATTTTAGAACATTTTTTTCTATTTTGGCATAAAATTGTATATTACTCAATTTTTATCCTGAATCCGTAAAGGCGAAGTAATTTAATGGCAAAAATATGTTTACAAATTTAGCACTAAAATCCAAAATCCATTCCAATATACAATTTAACTGATATATGTATATATATATATATATATTTATATTTAAATATATATATTATCCTCCTCCCACGATGTCCTATGCAACATAATAATTTATATAATTTATATTTTTGTAAATAATCCAGTGTAAATATGAATATTCCACTGCATAGAACATGAAATCCATATGAGAAACGTATAAACGATGTGGAAAAGGGCAAAAACTAAATAACCAAGTTAATATCCTTACATGATATTCCTAGTGAATTCCTATACGCTTAATGTGCATTCCAAAATATATGTACGAAAAATTTTGTATTATATCAATGAGGTCAGGTCAATCAGCAACTATATATCCTCCTAGTAGTGTAGACAGGTAAACAGCTACACAGCTACGGATGTTAATGCTCCTCCATACTGTTTTAAAATGCTTATTCAATCAACATTAAATTGTACTATATAAGTTCCTTTAAAAATAAATTAAGTCAGTTTTAAAATATGTCCTTAAATCCTGCAAATCCATTATTATGCATGTACAGTTATCCTTCCCCAAATATATTTCCATTATGTACGGAAAGAAAAGAAAAATAAATATTATTAATACATACATATTCTATATAAATAATTAATTTTTAGTACATATATTTTATCATTTAGTTATATAGTGATTATGGTTTGTCTACACACGATTTCAAAAATATTTTAACTTTAACTGATTGCATGGACTTTTGATGTTTGAAATTCAATCAGTATCGAATAATTAAAAGCTTATATCAATAGATACTGGATAGTTAGCAAAATTATACATTAATGATTATTATTATTATTATTATATTAGTTTTTTTTTTAATTTTAAATCTTTAGAGTGTAAAACTGCTGACTTTTATTAGAAAAAGTTATTGTTTTTTTTTTGTGGTTAAATAAGTAGGAAAAAACCACACTGTTAGATGCCATTAACATTTTATATTTGAATATCTTTGTTAAAACATTTGGTCATTTGTAATGTTTAATTAAACAATTTATATGCTAAAATTGAAAAGGTTTTGTTTCTTTTTTTTTTTTAATTAATTAATTGTACTTTCGGCAAAAAGATTGCGTTAAGTGAATTTTTAAAATTGTCTTTTGCTTCTGCAGTTTGATAAAATTTTGGTTATTTTTAATTTACGTGTGGGAAATTGTTTGGTTTCTTGTATTCTTAAAAGTTAGACCTAGAACGAGAACGAGACCTGGAATAGGATGCCCGACGGACTGGTGAGTAGGTTGGAGTTCCACGGCGACGTGCACGTGGCGAAAACGAACGTGAACGTGATCTATAAGAATAAATAAAATATTTATTATTATGTTTAAAAAATATATTTGTATTTTAAATACCTGTCACGATAATCAAAACGACCGCCACCACGTTCTCCGTCATTACTATCCTCACGAACACGTATGTAGGAAACTTCACCCTTAAATAAGAATATAAATATATTAATTTATATTTATACACATAAATATTTAAATATAAATGCATTAATTTATATATATACCATAGACATAAATATTTAAATATAACAAATTCTTAAACAAGTGCAGATATAACAGAATCGCAGTTTAACTAATTATCAAAAACTTGAAAATAACAAGAGTACTAAAAATGTTACATAAAATATTTGCGAGAAAAAGGTTTTGGTAAAGTTATTTGCAGGAAATATGAGATTTACGCCTAGGCACCGTTCTTCTTTCCAAATTCCTTCCTTCCTTTCTTCTTCCCAACAAAGATAAAGTCAGTAGATTTTTTTAAGTTACCACAACAACGTGTAGAATTCTTGTAGTTTAATGGAACGGAGCCACATCTCAATTGTGCTCAAATTAACGGCTACTTAAAGACAAACATCTGGATTAGTTATTGTATGAAGAGATAAGAATTTTGTCATGTATTTATTTACATTTTAAAAGATTACGATAATAGTCTTTAAATAACAATCTAACGTTTTATTATTACAATAAACGTAACGATTCACTTAGTGATAGATCAATTATCCAATTATATAAAATTGAGAACAATTAAACCCATTTGAACGTTTAATACATAGCACTAAATATAATCTTATATAAATTCTATAGAAAATATAAACTAAATAAAAAATCCGAACATTTCCTAAGACCACCGATGATAAGTACTTGGCAATACTCGGAACAGCCAAACTTTAATAAATTAACTAAATTTTTTGTTGTTGTCTTTTCATTTCTATTCGAAATCTTCTAAAATTCTAGAAGGTTTAATCTATGTTCCTTACAACTGCATACAACTAATTAAAAGAAATATCTAATATTTAACTTGATTTTCTAACCAAGTGCAATTAGTCAACAATTCCATTATTAGACTAATATCTCTATATCAATGAGATTGGTAAATTTGTTTCTATTTTTGAAACGGCAACTCGTGTGCAGGTGTTTGCATATTAATTTTTCTTGTTAATTCTTCTTGTGTCTTGTAGCGTGTTTAAAACGACATTTGTTATTTTTGTTACCATAGAAATAAAATTCTAATAACAGGTACAGAGAAAACTGAGGAAAACAATTACAAATATAGAATAATGGAAAGGGCAAGAACTTTATTTATGCAAGTACATATTCAGGTTAAAGATTCCTGAATATATGAATAGAGCGTAGTCAAGGATTAACTGCTTGCATGTTTATTTAAATGAATAATTAAACAGATGTACATTCTTGTATAAAAGGAATTTTCATTTTTAATATAGCTTCAGTACAAACAGGTCAATTTTTGTTATAAAAAATTTTAAATTTACTAGTTTAGCTGGGCAAGTATAACTCATACGAATTTGTAAAGATTTTCTGACAACCACGTAGTGACAGATAAATGTGTTTTATATGCAGTTTTTTATCTTAATAGTAGTTTTAATTAAAAATGACAGAGAGAGCTTAAATGAATCGATAAAAGAAATTATTTAAACAATATCTTATTACCACGAAGCTGTAGGCATTCTAAAATAATTCTGACACGATTATAGGTGTTAGCATAACATAGCTAAGCTATTATTTGTAACTTGAATTTATGTCGTACAACTCCTTGGAAAGTCCGCAAACAAGACGAAATGCAAGCAATTTAAGTAGTAATAGTAGTATTAGGTTTACTTTTACTTCATTTTAAATTTATTGTATTACATAGAAATTAATTACAATTATATTATATATGTGAAGCATACAACTATTGTATTTTACGCATTTGCCGACAAGCAATTTAATAATAATTAAAGAGAAAATTTTATAAGACAAATTTAATTTATATTAGCTAATATAAATCTACTGATGAAATAAGTCCTTACTAAAAGTACTTACTAAAATATTATATTATACATGTTATACAAGTAAAATAAAACGAGAACGAGACCTGGAATAGGAACCTCGACGGACAGGTGGAATGTACTAATAATTAAATAAGAAAATTTTATAAGACAAATTTAATTTCTATTAGCTAATATAAATATGCTAATGGACTAAGTCCAACTTAATAAAATGTTATATATTCTACATGACATACAAGTAAAATAAATATACTGATATCACTAAAGATGTTATTTATACGTGTTTTGGGTAAGAGTGTATATGTATATACATTTTTATCCATATTAAAACTAAATAAACGCCTCTAAAAAACAATACATAGATAACAGATAAGTTATTAAATATTTTATGTTGAAAAAGTAAGCGAATATAATAATAATTATCCAATTATTCTACAATTTAATAAAAATTTATTGAATAAACCGTAGCAATTGATAGCTTACGTAGAAAACCAATAAAAATTGCAAGTCTCAGCTTATGGACGGACATTTCATTTAATTATTTATATCATTTACAATAAAAACATCAAGACATACTAAAGATAAATAATAGATAAATGTGTTGAACACTCAATTTTTAATTTCTGTTTCATCTTTCATGTGTGCATCTGTTTTAACGTAATCATTCTCGACAAATAAAAAGATATAACACCATATATAGAAATAAAGACAACTTAGTGCAATATGTATTCACTCAGAACTGAAGTTTTAAAAAAATTTACGTCTCTATAATTAAACTTTATATTCAAGCCAATTAAAAAAAATCTGTTTTTATATTTAACTGAAATGCATACGCTTTATAAATATAACAAAATAATATTCAAATACTATCTCAGCAACCCTTATAAAATAGATTTTAACATTCAAATTGAGTCATGAGTTTTTACCCTTAATTATCGCGTTTATTAGACCGTTAAAAAAAAAAGACTTACCTCGTGAGACCGAAAACGCGAATCGTCCAACTTTTTAATAGCGTACTTCATATCTTCCAAACGTAGGAACTCAACAACACCTGTTCCATCTTTATAAGTGTCTGCAAAGCAAACATCACCAGCTTCACGCATATGATCTTTCAAATCCTGCCAGGAACCAGATGGTGGTAGACCAGTTACCATTACACGATACTGAGAGCGTTTGGTTGGTGGACCACGTCCACCGCCACCACCACGACCGCGATCATTGTTTCTATCGTTACGATTGCCCCGATAACTACCAGGACCACCACCGCGAGGAAATTCTACGCGTAGACGATAACCATCATAATCATAACCGTCACGAGCTTTTACCGCATCATCAGCATCACTGTAAATTTTCAATCAAATTATCAAATTTTTTAAACATTAAAAAAAAAGTTAATTTAATAATCGAAAATTATTTTTTTAAAGATAAAGTATTTAAAAATAATTTTGCAAAAATTTTCTTTAGATATGAATATTTACCGCGCATCTTCGAACTCTACAAATGCAAATGGCGGACCACGCCGGTTTTTCAAGTCAACAAAAGTAACTTTGCCAAATTTGTGAAACAAATCTTGAATATCTTTAGTACGGATATCCGGTGGAAGGTTTCCAACATATATACGGCATTCATTACGTCCGGCCATTGTTTCCTTAATTTTTAAATTTAATATAACGCGCTACTCAAAACTACTAATTATATTTTCTCCGCAGTAAATTTCTTTGCTTCAATGTCTGCACTGACGCTGCTAGAAAGACGATATGAAAATCAATAATTTGACAACCAAAACTATAATGTTGCCAGGTGAAAAGAAATAAATTTAGAATTTTTGTGCTGCCACTACGTTAAATTTAGAGCCTAAAACATATCGTAACAAATTTTTCATATCTATAAATTTTCAAATATTATAGATATATTATATATACAATTGATTCAGTTTTCAATGCCATAATAATTAAAGTAAATACAATACTTATAGCTAACACTACATGATAAACAGTGGAAAAACGAAATATTTACAAATATTTACAAAACGGTTTTATTATCTAATATTATATTATACTGCATTTACATTGTGCGATTAAAAGTAGATTAAAGCAATTATCGAGGTAAAAGTATTAATCTAGTTGTTTGATCACAGTTCCTCATACAAAAGTTAATCTCATTTTGGTCGAAATTAATTTTTAACCTCCTTAGATATAATAATTATTTCTCTGTACAACTCTATAAATGTAGTTTTGTACATAATTGTAATTGAAATTTGTTGAATTACTGTTAAGTTTATATTACAGTTTTTTTTTATTTAAATTCTTTAGACATAATAAATGTATTTTACTTTTTTATGTATAATATGTAAGTTATTTATATATATTAATTATTTATTACTTATTTTTGGGACGGTGCATAAAAGTATTAAATATTTAATTAAAATTCTTATGTAAGGTGCTAAATATATCATTTTAAATTATTATGTCTATTTCATGTAAATTACTATAATATATAAGTTACTTATATATATGGATTATATTGTTATTTATTTTTGAGACGGTGCATACAACTATTAAATATATAAAATATTAATATTTAATTAAAATGCTTATATGAGGTGCTAAATATATCATTTTAAATTATTATGTCTATTTCATGTAAATTACGATTATTATGCACAGTCTTTCAAATTTTGATTTTATCAAAAAATTTATTTTTAGAAAAATTTTGAAATAGTACCAATTTGTACCTAAATACTTCTAATATAGAATTATTTAAACTATTATTAGCAATAAAGAACACAAAAATAAAAAAACAACATTTCATATTATTAAAAGTCAAAGTCAAGTTTCTAAATTAAAAAAATTTTAGGTTTTACAAAAAATTTCATTTCTAAAATATAAAAAATATACTCAAGAAATAGAATAAATAAACATAATTTCAATGTTTCAACTGGAATATTAAGTATCTGAGTTTCCACAGCAACGTTTTTAACTCGGCACTAGCAATATATTACTTTAAAAATCTGTCATGTTGCCATTTTTGTGCCAAAAACTTATTGGTAACGTATTATATTTTCAACAAGTTCAAACATAGTTTGGATTTTGGTGTGCCTATTTATATACATATATGGCAAAATCGGCTTGGTAGCTGGTTCTGAGCTCAAAGTTCACTTCTGTTAGCAAATTTCGTAATGTAAACCCCGTATTAGGTTAGCTTAGGTTACACCCGCGATACAGTTAGGAATATTGGCCCATTGTATTACCGTATAATGGAGAGACTCAGTGTTTAAAACTACCTGGCGTCTTTGACGAAGCTTAGAATATTATTTAGTAGGAGGTCTGGAAGTTGATCAACATCACCAAAGAAAGGGAGCTCCTAAAGTATTGACTCACTGCCGTGCATGGTAGATGAGAGTCAGCTGCGAGAGCTATCATAATTTTTTTTCACTTCGTAATTTTTACTCCTGGCAAAAGAATTTGTAATAGAAATTTTTATACAGCAAAGTGCACTTTCAATGATAGGATGGTAAACAATATACATTTATTATAAAAATTTATATAATACTCTTTAAACTCAAGTCGAATATTTATATTATTTATATACGCAGACATTTTAATTATCTTAATAAAGAATTAAACTTACTGTCGTTTCTGGTATCGTAAAACTAAAAATTAGCAACAAAGTAACTATAATTAAAATAAATTAAAGTTCACTGAAATTGAAATTTGTAAATTTGTTCTAATTCACAAAATGACAAAATAAAGCAGAGATGTTATATGAATTACATTGTTTGGACATTTTGCCATAAAACATTAGTTTGAACAGTTCAACATGTTTGAACATATATATTAGATGGTAAAAATAATTTATATTTATACTTCATTGCTGCATAAACTAGTCTTTAAAAAATATATGAAATAATTTAAATGACGTATTTTAAAATTTAAAGGAAATAGAATAAATACGTACTAAGTTACTAACTTACTGAATTTGAACCCTTCACTAGAGATACAGTCTCTTTCAAGGTTTCTTTTTTTCTAATCTTAACAATAAACCCAACAATCATGGCTCAATGTCATGATAAATCGGTTTCGGTTCTTGGTTATTGTTTCCGTTGACAATATGCGATGGACCGAAAATCTTACGATGAACTTTTCTCTCAAACATTATCAGTGCTGCATCATTATTCAGTAATCGCATTATTATATGATTGCTGTATGACAGAGAACCACAGGTAGCATAAGCGACCATTTGTTAGTTGAGAGGGAGAGAGCACTACATCCCAATTACCTACTGCGTCTATAGTAACACTTTTTGGCAACGGTGATTCATCGTCTGTTTATAAGACGACAGGTGTTGATAGTTCTAGCGATGCCAATAGAGATGAAATCCTTAACAGCTTCGACAGTCTGAAAGCCTAAATAGAGGCTTTTATTTCTGACAGTAGCTAACATATACACCGTTTTCCCTTCATGCGCTGCTAAATTCATATTCGTAAATTCATATTCGTAAATTCATATTCGTAAATTCATCTTCAATAGGTGGAAAAACAGCAGTGATATGATGGTAGCAAGCATCCAATTCAATGATGTCGGTCACGTCAGCTCAGACAACACTCATCCTCTTTCTCTTAAGACATCCTCTTATGCAGCTATCGAAAACTGCTTCATTATGGACGAAATGAGTGTCGACTTTATTTTCCTGAGCTTTTTATGGGATATGTAATAATGTGGATGATAGAGCGACTAAGTCGAACACTGAGCTAATAAGGTTTAATCGGTGAGTTAGTACATGACTTCTACCTTTTAAAATAGTACGCTTGAAAGGACCTTGTACGCAAGAAGTATTAAGAAACAGGTCGAGCCTTTTTCAGAACAGAATATTTATATATAAATTATAAGTATTTAATATATATGTTTCACATATTATGAATATAATATTTTAAGATATTTAAAACTGGCTTGAATTTATCATATTCGTATAAAGGCTATAGGTAATTAAATTACCTTGATGTATATACTGTGCTACAACTGTAGTGAACTTAGAATTTCACAATAGAGTATTTTATATACATAGATATTCGTTTACTATTTTTAAAATGTTGACTAATATATTTATTTGTTTAAGTACGCTTTTGAAAGTTCAATACCAAAACGCAAAAAAGGTTTTAAAACCATTTGGTGAAATTTTCGGTGTATTTTTAAAACAAATGTCGGTATATTTTTTAAACAATATTAAATAAATATGAGTATTAAATTAAACGCAAAATTATTTAAAAAATAAAAACAAAAGTATGGTTTTATTGTATTAATTTCAGTATCTTTATTAACGAAAGCAGATATATATTGCAGACATCATATATAAATGTATGGAAACATCATATAAAGATATGACAATGATGTCAAACATTTTTCTATTGACAGAACCACACTGTACACACTCTTAAAGTAAAGTTCAAATACTCGAGCAATATTTGTATATTCAGGCTAAAAGTTTTTTCAAATTTTTTTTTGATATATGGATATAGGTAGAATCTAATATATATATACCAAGCCTGGTACTAGGTATGATGCAAAGTTCATGTACTTTTTATATCCATCATATAATTATAAATAAAATGCATTGAAACTTAAGTAAAACCAAATCTTTATTTTTTTCTACCATTTAAATTATTATCGTTTTATTAAAAAAATTGGTGTATTAAGTTTTTCAAGCTGTTTGCAACGCAGTGAAGGATTCACCACACATATATAAACCAAATGGGTGTATTCTTAACAAGAAAATATAAGATCTATATGATTTTATAAGTCTTACTCGTCAAAAATATGGGTTCACTAACAGATCACTATATCAGAGGTAAAAAAATGCAGGTTAGCCTTTTTTAATAAATATAAATATAAAATCATTATAAGAATATAAAGAATGGTCTCCACCATTCTCTACTGGAAACTGGAAACGAATGAAGACGATTAACAACTGTAAATGTCAACTAAGCAAATAATGAATATAAAAAAATTATAGTCTTATATATCTTGACAAAATATCTATGTGCAATTTACATTCTAAGAACCCCTATGCGACCGATAAATAAAGATACAATTCCATAATTTTTCACAGAATGCGCTATTATTAATTTATCTAAGGTGTAGAGATTTTATTATTCTGTCTAGGTGGCTGTATTTTGTTATTATTCATTTAAGCATAAACATTTATTTTATTGTTTAGAAAATTGTTTAGACTAAAATCAGCTGTGTTTGTGCTTTTATATAATAGCACTTCAAGAAAATTCAAGTCCAATTAAAATAATTTTAAGAAATTATTCATTTAGTTAGAAACATTCAGAGCAAGAGGGCTAATTGTGCTATGAACTAAAATGTTCACTTCGGTAAAATAAATCGAAAATATTTTTATATTTATTAAATGAAAAATAAGACATGACAAGTGGTAAAAAATTTTTTTAAGAATGGAGTTAAGATAATTAATTTTTATTGACAAACGAAAATACATTGCTCTCTGAAGAAAGTACTTCGACCCTATTGAAATATTGAAATGCTGCAATTTTATTAATACTTAATAAAAAATAATAAATTATTCAAACTAAAAATTTAACACAAAAATGTTGCTGAAAATTAATAACATAAAACAAAAACCAAAAAATAATATGTACAATAAACTATTAAACACAAAAATATTTTAAAATATATATACATATTAAATTATATCAAATGTTTTTCAATTGAAAATATATCTATATATTGAAAAAAAAATAAATTTAAAAAAAAAATAAGTTATTCATTTAATAATAAAAAAACTAAAATTAAGTATTTAACTATTTTATATAATATATTATCCAAAATGTTATATAATTGAAGTATTGTAATTCAATAAAAAATTATATGAACAAAAGATGAGATATAACAAAGTGAAACTAAAATTTAATTGTTTATAAAAAAAAACAAATATAATTAATATTTCTTAAAAATAATTTTGAATGAAAAAATCATATGTAAATTAAAGAATATATGCTATTACTAAAACTAACCACGAAATAAAGTTTAAAATATGTAATAATACAAATAAGTTTTAAAAAAAGAATTTAAATACATAAAATACTAGTTAAAAGGCAAATTCCATAAGATAATATATTGTATATTGAATAAAATAATTGATTTCTAAAAATTGTGCGAAATCAATTGCAACATTAAAAACAAGTAAAATTTAAAAAAAATATTAACTAAATCAAAATTTTTACTATAAAAAACCTAAAACGGATTTAATCGAAAAATAAATATTAAAAAAATTTTGAATAAAAATCAATTAATAATGAATTTTTTACAGAGAAAAATTTTAAATTATTTTCACATTAAAAATAAAAAATTAAAACCAATTTTAAAAAAAATTATAAAAAAGAACTTGGTACTTTTTCCAAATTAAAAAACAAAAGCAAATCAAATTTCAATATTGAAAAGGTCCATCATATAAAAACAAAAAAATAAAATAATAATTAAATTTATAATAATTTTTTGTATAATAGCTTAAAATTTTTAACAGTATAAAAAAAAATTTATTTTAATATATTAAATAATTTCATTACTTTAAAGCGGAATAATGGAAAATAATATTATAAACAGCAAAACAAAATTTTAATCTGCACACAAAAATTTTTTTTGTACAACGACTTAGAATTTGTTTTTAATTTAAAAATAAAAATGAATTAAATTTTAATATCTTGAAAAGGTTCGTCATCTTGAAAAAGGCGTAGTTTGACAAATTAAAAAATAAACTGCAAATTAAAGTTATAAATAAACAGAATATTTTTTTTAATAATAAAGAAAAATTGAATAAATTAAAAAAATTAATAAATTGTGTAAAAAAAATTATAAATTTCAATATATAAAAATTTAAAGACATTGTTAAAAGAATAATGAACATAAATAAGTTAATCAACACATAAGTTGAATATAAACATTTTTTTAAATGAAAGAATGATTGATCTGAATACAACCAATTTTCTGGCTAATAAGGTACATTAATTATTTTATATTACATATTGGTTATTACATTTAAGAGTTGATCAAAATGTCTACTATATCTACCTAGATATAATTTTTAAAATGTGTGTTAAATCGATACATATATATACATGTATATATTTCTCATTATTTTTTACATTTTTCTTTAATGAAAGCCACGCACATACACTACAGTACCATATATTCGAATAGGAACAAAAGTTTTTGTCTATCTATCTATCTTCTATCTTCTGTTTATTAAGTTATCTCCAGAGAGTAGATCTGGTTATTAAGATTAGAACAATATTTTCAATATTTTTTTAAACATTTTTTATTATTATTTTATTTTTATTTTACATTGACTATTACAAAGAAAAAACACAATACGACGTTGATATCAATCTGGAAGATAGTTTTTAGATATTGAGTCTTTGACAGATGCTATTAGAAGTGATCTTCTTACGTCTTTACATGATAATATTCCAAACCGTATTTATTAAATTATTTCAAATAAATAAAAAAAATTCAAATATATAATTTGAAATAAAGTTTATAAAAATGTTGTCACTCACATCGATTTTAAATTTTTATCCGTATTCAAGCGCTGCATAAAAAAAGTACTGAAGTTCAAAATCGCATGCAAGAATTAAATACTAAATACTAAATAATAAATTAAATAAAAATAATAAAAGAAATACTTTATTGTCGTTATTGTTTGATTTTCAATTTCAAAACTAAGAGATAACTCTGAAAATTCTTTGGCGCTATTCAAGTGCACAGAAGTGTATATTATACATATATCCAAATAAAAGATGCTTTTTGTAGTCACTCGAAGAATTTTTATGGGAGTTTATCATAATTTTAACATTGATAGAAACTTTAATATATATATTATACAAAAATATTATGATTATATATCATATATTTCATTTAAAAATCTTATCTTGTGACTTGCAAATATGTAAAAGTTATTACTTTTTTTTACTTTTTAAAAAAATTTTATATTATTTATGGCAGTGGTTCCCAACCATTTTTTTGACCAAGGACTACTAAAATTTGTAGTAAGAACTACAAACAAACTGAATAATAAACTGTTTGATTATTTTAATATGCTTTATGCATCTCTGGTATAATATATATATTGAATTGTATAAGTGAATTATAACTATTTCACAACATCTGATTCTAAGGTAGCAAACCTATCACCGATAGAGGGTGTTTTAATCTAATCAGCCACTGTATTTGACTTCCAAATGATTCGAGTATTCACAAGAGCAGTTTCGGATATGAATGGAAATTTGGTGACGACCCTACGCAACTTGAAAAGCATAAGATTTGAACAATGGAATGTACGTACGCTATTCCAAACTAAAACATTTGGCCAGCTCTGTTAAATTTGATTCACGAACTACTTCGTGAATCAAATTTCGTGGACCAAATATGATCGGCGGCCCGCTGATTGTGAATCACTGAATTTATAGTAACTTACTTTTTTACAAAGCTTATTACCAACAATTGAACTAGGAACTTCTTGACTTTCAATAGGAATCAGTAAACTTCATCCATTTTAAATTCCATTATTAAATACTGTATTTCTTTCTATTAAATTGACTACAGACTATTCTTTTTAAAACCTTGGTTAATTATTTTTAAACAAAAGGAAATTCTAAATGCCTACTAAATATTAAGTATATTTAAACTTTAGTTGTTTCAATTACAGCCGATATATAAGAATTCTAAAGACCTGTTGAATATACAAGTAAGAAGATTCTAAAGTTCTACTTAAAGATTAATGATGCAATCAACAATAAATCATATTAAGTCACGTTTTATGTTAAAGTTCAGAAAAATTTTTCAGTGTCTTTTATATATTTTTTTAAGACTAAAATCTTCGAGATCATTGGCATTTAGTCCATGATTTAAATTCACTTCAATGACTTTTCAACATTTGTTGTCTACTTAAGCACATGATTAATATGTTAAGTTAACACAAACTAGCATCTCTGCAGTACAAATAGAGAAAAGTAGATCAAAAATAATGTAAACAAAAATATATTTTAAATAATAATTTATTTAAACAAAAAAATTAAATATGAAGAATATTAATTATGATTCAAGCAAAACAAACTCGGCGATATCACATAAACTAACTATATGCATATTGTATGCGTATAGGCGTTAACAGCAAAGATATTGAAATGCGGAATAGGAAAATTAATAGTTAAAGTATAAATATGTAAATTTTCAAAATTAATATTAAAATAAAACATAACAGCTAAAGATATGAGTCAGTGACCCAGTAATGCGTTTCCTGTTATGCAACAAATTCTCAAAAGTTCAATAGATATTAGAAAATATTAGCGAAGCCAAAATTGTAAAGTAAATTTAAGTTCAGTTTTTAAACGTACATTTTTGAATAAAGTTGGAGTTTGCACCTAACAAAAAAATTTTTAATTGAATAATTATATATATAATACAATATAATATATTTTGGCCGAGCCCTAGAGCAATTAAATTAGTGAACGCGTCGTGAGTGCACTAGAAATGTTAACAAGAATTAGAACTAGAAACATCTTTAACTAGTCCATATATTTTTTTACGAGTAAACACTGTAAAATTACTAATAAAGCGATAAACAATAACAAAGCTAAGCTTAAAAAACCTTTACAGTATTTTGGTTTCGATTCGTGAGTTACGATATATGTGAAGTAAGGGCCTTCTCGTATACAAATAGATCGCCTAGACTACAAAACTAAGCCACTGCTCATAGAAAAACAAAGAATGCACTAATTAATGCAATAATGTAAGTGAATAGTAAATTGTGATTTATTGGAATTGGTAACGACAACCATCTCTTAAGTCTTTACTCTGGAAAGAATAAAAGAAAAAATTTTTTTTTTGTGATCACTATTGAAATTATTAATGAATATGCATTTAAAAGAAGAGATTTTGAAGTAGTAAAGAAATTAAGAGAAAATATTTTTTTTAAAAAAGTGATGAAAATTTAACTAACCTCTATAAGTAGTTTGTGAAAATATAAGTAAAATTTAATCCTGTAGCTGTTACAAAACGGACTCATCTGTTGTAAAAACTTGATATTCCTAGAAAGACCTAAGAAAAAAATTAAAATGCATTAAAGACAAATCCATTAATATCTATCTTTATAAAATAATCAAAGGACTTTGTTACTTTTTGGATTAACCGGATTCTATCTTCAATATATAAAATATTGCAAAATTAATAAAACTGTTAACTATTTTTCAAACAAAAGTAAGATAGAACTTCGAAAACCAAATCAACGAAAATCAACATAAGCAGAAAACATTAACATATATTAGAAAATAATTAAAGATTTTTAAACAATTAAAAATAAACTCGTTTCTCACGATCTCTCGCTGTCCTATCCAGATTGAAAAAACACCGAATGAAAACGAATTCATCAGAGTATGCTATAGAAACTAAGGCAGAAAATGACAAAAAATCTATAGTATGCATTTCAGCGAAATATGAGCAATATACTATAGAGGAATGCTATGCTACTAATGCAGAAGAGATGTATATGGGCACTAAATCCTTTGCAAAATTATCTTTATAAATTTCTGAAACTTACACGGATCATCCGCCAATTATATACTTACTAAAAACAAAAAAAAAAAAAAACAACATGAAACGATGGAAAGCCATTTTGACGTGGTAGCAGCCGCTGTCTCGAAAACTTCATTAATACCCAACTTAATTCTATGTCTACAATAACCGATATTGACGTCAGCTCAGGTTAGAATATTATATAATTATTTTTTGAAGCGGCTATGTATTTATATGTATTTAAAACACCAATATATTTAATATGGTATTAAAGTCCCAAATATGTACTGGTCGTAAAAAATATTTCATAGTATCACAGAGTGCTATTCTATATCCGAAATTCTTAAAATATTGAATTGGTTTAAAGTTGAGACTACACATTTAAAAAAACCTTACCTTCACTGAAACACTGAGTTATGTGAAATATATTTATATGCTTGCTACAGTTTCGCCAGGTAACCTTTTCACGATTGTATTATAATTGTGGGACTATAGTAGAGTGGTTCTTATTCTTCGAAAATCGGATTACTTTATAAAGAAATCCGGACCCACCCAGGCTCGAAATTTACTTTTTTTATTTTTACGGTTAAAGTAAATTTAAATTACAGTAAATCTGCATTTAAGTTACACAAAAATCAAAAAAAAAGTAACTTGCAAGTAACTAGAAAAGTATGGATTTTAAGAGGATCAAATATTCTTTATCCTCATATTTCTTTTTAAAAATACAACTTCTTTTCATATCTTGAAACCACTTCTATCGTCTTAATATGTTTAAATGTTTAATGGTTAAACGTGAGACCGATATCTGTAACTGCTGCATATTATTTTTTTATATTATAACTTTTCGAATATATTACATTTTATTTCGAAAATTAACACCACTTTCCATATGAACGCAACATTTTTTATAAAACTTGTCGATTTTTTGACCCCTGAAACTATAACTATTGACCTAACAGGGTTAGTGCTTAATACAAACTTACATTAATTTCTTAAACGGAATTTTTTTTCATACTTCACAAATCACTATGTCAGAAACTTAAAACATTTCCAATACAAAAGTCAGGTTTTAATGACTGCCGATCGAAGTGCTCAACTTGTTAGTATTCCAGCATTATCCTCATCTACTGGGAATGAAATAAGTGATGCTATTTTCGACAAAGTTTCTGAATAGCAGCTAACAAACAATGACTATGTAAATTACTGGTAAATACTGTCCACTTAAATAGTACATATGTTGTATATAGACTTTGCTATATCTGTCATGTAGGCATCTATCACATCTATGAATTTATTCTTAAATTTGTTAAACTGACTTCAACTGACTTAACAGGTTCAGTCTAAACTAAAGATTATAGGTAACTGATGTACATTTCTTTTTTTATAGATGTAAAGAAAATTGGATTAAATATACACAGCATAAGAAG